GAAAAAAGTCCTTCGCATGCCACCCTCTTTCACCCATGCCAGGGGTTGTCTACCCCTGTCCTAACTCTTTTCTGTCCCCGGCTTTCCCAGTGGTCTGTAAGACCACCTCAGAGAGAGCTCCTCCTTTGTTCAACTCCTGGGAAAGAGCAGACTGCCTCTTCAAAACGAGCGGGGGAAGGAGGTCAGAGTGCTGACAGCCCAAATAACAAAAGCAGCCAGTTTTGCTTCAGACAAACAGGTCCTGGTGACTGTGTCACTAGTTCCCTGGTCCTTCAAAGTCCTGCTTACTGTCCCTTCAGCTCCCTCAGACTCTCCTCTCTCCCTAGGCACAGGGTGCCATTTTAGCAACAGAGTAACAAAACTATAGTAATCTGGGGATTGAATACTCGCCCAATAAAACAAGCAAGCAAACAAACAAGTTATCAGGAATCAATTTGAGAGCAGAGTCTAGGGCCTGCTACCTGGCCCAGATGGTTACTTTCCTGTGGGCAAGGGACATTTAGATGTCCTACTATGAAACTCAACAAAGGGTGTTCCTACTAGGTTCTCCACAAGACCTCCAGGCTAGGACTTGGTTGATTTAGCCTCTTTATTCACAAGGGGATATTGTGTCATGGTTATGCTGTGCAATTTGGGTGCGGGAGGATATGTGGTCCTTCATCACTCCAGCAGATATTATAGTGAAGCCAGTACAAACTACAAAGGATAAATAAATACTGTATGACTCTTTGAAAATACAGACTTGTTTTAATTATATGAAAGCAATCGTGACAATCATTTATAATATATAAAGTAACAAGGTGCTCATAGTTCATTTTGACCATGGCTTGCTTTCATAGTGGTATAATACACTGTGAAATTTAAGGCACTATTAAGTACAGTTGTGTTAAGTATGCCAACTTAAACTATATTGTTGACTTAACTGGTTTCTTATTTCTATAGAATATTCCAAAACTAATATGATAGAATGGTTTAAAAATCACTGGTACCCAACCTTTTGGCCCCACAGACCAGATGAGCAGTGCCAGGTTGGTCTGCGGGCCCAATGGTGCCATTCGGGCATTGGAAATTTGGTGGCAGGGGAGCAGTGGCAGTGTTAATTTCTACCACTCCACCGAATTTCTAGATCTGTGGGAAACCTCAGGGACTGGATGACGTGGCTGTGGGCCAGATGTGGCCTACAGGCTCGGGGGGTTGAGCACCCTGGTCGAAGTTATTTAAGTCTTATCTATGCACAGCTTTCACATTTGTTCAGCTATTCATTAAGGGGACATAACTTCTAGTGTGAATGTAGTTAAAAATGTTTCCTGGGTCAGTGGTCTGCAACCTTTCCTTAATGGTTGGTCATAGTAACATGACTCAGTCCATGAACTAGAGGTGGTATTTGACAGAAAGGAGCCATAAAATGACATATTGCACAAACATGTGTGGTAAGTTGTAGGTTGATGACCCTTGCCCTGAGGAAAGGGACTAGGCTTCAGTTTAAAATCTGTAGTTGGCAGCCTACAGCCTGTGAAGAAATTGGATCAGCTGAGGGAGATTGGTGGCAAGCAACTTTTGCCATGCCATCCATCCGCTTCCTACTGCTTTCACATGCCTACACATGACTTTTCCACAGGATTTAACCTTCCTCATTGCTGTTGTGGAGAGGGACTAGCAGTGAGGGTACATGCAGTTGGCTTTGGCACTCCTTGCATGCAGTGAAGATGTGTGACCCACACCATGGGTTGGGTCACAAGCGGTGGTCCATGGCCACAAATGGTTGACAACTGCCTAGTTTAAAGCACCTTCATATTAACGAAGGTGGTTTAATGCCCAATAGACATTTCTCTTTACTAGTGACATAAATCGACACCTTTGTTGAATTTAAAGAATGAATTAGCAAAGGAACTGAACTAACCTTATTGCTAAAAATATTTCCTCCAAATCAGCATAGAGTGTGTTCCAGCTTGCCTATATTCCATAGGTTACTAGGACTTCTACCTTAAGGAATGTAAATCACCAAAGCAATAATGTTGGAGTAAACCACTCTTCCCTCCTGCCACCTCCATACTCAACCATAAACTTTATATCATTTGCTCTACTAGGCCTAGTTATTAAAATAAACCAGAGGATCAGTGACTCCTCTTGACATCTTGATGTTTTGTAGTTTAACCCCCCTCTTTCCAATCATGCAGGTGATTTCCTTAGACCTCCGCTCAAACACTTCAGAAGGAAAAAAAGTAAATAGTCACGAGGATGGCTTGGAAGAGAAAGCCAGTAGCTTTGTGGATGAGATGCGCTATACCCATATTCTAAACCGAGTACTTCCTCCTGATATACGTGTCCTAGCCTGGGCTCCTGTAGAGCCCAGCTTCAGTGCTAGATTCAACTGCCTCAAGAGGACCTATCGCTATTTTTTTCCACGTGCAGACCTGGATGTAGCACTCATGAATGCTGCAGCCCAAAAATACACGGGGACTCATGACTTCCGCAATTTGTGCAAGATGGATGTAGCCAACGGTGTGATAAACTTCCAAAGGACTATTCTCGCTGCACAGGTGCAACTGGTGGATAGAGGCCAAGGTACTGGGCTACAGGACCCTTTCCAACTGTGTCAGTTTGAAGTGACAGGCCTGGCATTCCTCTATCATCAGGTCCGCTGTATGATGGCAATCCTCTTCCTAATTGGACAGAGGATGGAGGACCCAGAGATTATTGACGAGCTACTGGATGTGGAGAAGAACCCTCGAAAACCACAGTACAGGTAAATGACTTGGGCCTCCTCTACATGTTACAGGTATCAGTTACCTGATAACGGATTAACTGTGCAGTTACCTAGAAACCAGCTACATGACCAGCTGTCATACCACAAAAAGCTCCGACCAGCTATAAAGTTAGACCTTGGAAATGTGTACTAACTTTATAGCTGGTTGCCGTTGAGCCTTATTATGCACATGTAACACCATCACCCCCGCATCTGGGAACCCCATCAGCTGATGGGGCTCCCAGCCACATGGGTGTACCATCCTAGCCAGAGCTGGGAGTCCCAAAACTGAGGGGACTCTCACCCCCAACAGCTGCCAACTCTGGATCCTAGCAGTACAGGGACCTTAAGTCCCACAGATGTTGATGCAAGGTACAAAGACCCAGCTGGGGTTTCATGCACCCCCTAACCTGGGAGGTCACAGCACTGGCAGTCCCCGACCCCAGGGGTGTATAGGGCACCCCTGTGACTGGAAGCTCCTCAGTTGAAGGGGCTCTCAGCTGTGGGAGCTTGCTTCTTTCCAGTGCACCAGCAACTAAGGTGTTTATGGGATCTAATGCACGGTCCCACAATCATGCCTCCTGCCACGTACATATGGCATAGCAGGAAGTGCAACTGTGTGATCCCATCATGCCTTTACCTGCATGAGTAGAGGGGATCTCAGGCAAATCCCTAGAATTATTTCAGAGTATTTATGTATAGCAACACCTCTACTTCTCTAAGTGCCCCTGCTATACTACTTATTCCTGCCAGCATCTAAGCAGTCTGTCATAAATTGGGCCCAGCAACCCCTCATATTTAACACCTTTTTACAATCTTCAAACATGACCTCATGGAACAGTTATACTAACCTCTAACTCTTCCCAGAAGAAAGCTAAAATTCTTAAGCGTGCAGTAAAAACATAAGCACAATTCATAGGATTAAAGAGCTGTCAAATCAGCAATTTCTGTACAAGATAGCAGTGAGCCAATTTAACCTTTTCTATAAAAGGTTGTGCTAATACTTCAGACCTCCGTTCTTTGCTTTCTTCAAGTCGTCATTTCTGTAGCTACCTTTTCACTGTACCATTGCATCATTAGGTAAATGTCTCTCTCTCCATCTTGCAGCATGGCAGTGGAATTTCCTCTGGTTCTTTATCACTGCGAATTTGAAAACATCCAGTGGATTTATGACCAAGAAGTTCAGGAATTCAATATTACTCATCTACAGCAACTCTGGGCCAATTATGCAGTTAAAACCCATATGCTATACAACATATTACAGGGGCTAGATTCTGTCAGTGTGCCCACAGGAACAGGTAGGAAAATTGCTTTGTTAGATAATTCGGTGGCATTAAGTCACAGAGGGAACAAAACTTTTTCAGAAACCAGTCATCTGGGTTGTTTAAGCAATTGATTTACTTCCTTGTATGTTACAGACTCAGGGAACAACAATAAAGTCCTCTGGAGAGAAGTGAAGCCTCCAATCCATAACCAGGTCAGCAGTTTCGTTGAGGGAGTGAAAGCCCGCACTTACAAACCACTGCTGGATCGCCCCAAGTGTGAAGGTTTGGAGTCCCGGATCCACCACTTTGTGCGCAGGGGCCGTATTGAACTGCCACACTGCAAGGAGAAAGAGGCTGGAGCAGACGCACAAGAGCTAGAAATCAAGAGAGGCCACAGTGGAACTACAGAAAAAGATACCGAGGTACTAGAACAACCTGCCAAGAGAGTCTGTGTAGACACAGAATCCAAGATCTCCAAATGATACATTGCCACTGGGGGACAAGCAACAGGGTGAAGAACTCCCCTGGGATTTAAGGCTTCTTTCTTGGGAGGGAAGGTAGATAGAATTGTTTAAAGATGGTTCTGTGCCTTTTTTAGTATAATGAACACTTTCTAGGGGACCCTACAAATTATTATTTTATAATGGTCTAACGTAAAGATTCTGAAACTGGTTCATGGAGAACTCACTAATCATATAGTGCTTGTTTTGCCTTTAACTGATCATGCATTAAAAGCAGCTAATACTTTTCAGTGTAAGACTTTTTATGTAAACAAATGGAAGGGAAGATGACCTGCATAATTATGTGGAGGGAAGGTGTTCACAAGACATTCTTAATTGACCCAGATTAGGACAGTGCTATCCTAATAAAATGCTGCTTCTACCCTAAGCGTTTCTATTTAAGAGTGCAAAGATCATTCTCCCTAACTTTCTACTCCCTTCCTGCTACACACTTCTCATGTTTTGCTTTAGTATCTTGCTTAATAAAGAACTGTACTGAAAACTAGGGCTTCAGTCACTGATTCGATTCAGCCCGATTTTGGTGGCCGAATCTGAATAGAAATCAGAGGACCCTTTAATCTCACCGAATCGAATCAGAACTCTCCAAATTGATTCGGAAAGATTTGGCGATTCAGACATAGACACAGCTTTAAATGTTTTTTCTACATCTCTAGGTAGCAGGCGGCTTGCAAATGCTATGATACTGGGGCACATGAAGTGTTCCACAGGAGTGCAGGGGGCTCCCCAGTGTGCTCAGCAGCAGACCCAGAAGTGGACCAGAAGCACTTCTGGGGCACCTGGGGTCCCAAGCTGTGGTCAAATCAAATCGGGGACAGCGATCCGAATCAACAAATTGAATCACTGTCTGCAATTCAGGCCGAATCCAAATCGAATAGGGCCCTCTTTGCACACCCCTACTGAAAACCCAAGTAAGGTCCATGTCAACCAGCTCTGGGTAAAACGCTGTCCCAGTAACTTGAGACAACCACATTGCATTCTGGTTAGCAATGCTCAAAAACCATGCATTGGCCACCTGCCAGACTGCCTAAGTATTTGGGGAAAAACTAGAGACTCTGGATTCCCTCCTCATAACAACATACCAGATCCTGAAGATTTTCCTTGAAGAAAAAAGAAAATTTAAATGCTACCAAGCTCATGTGTACACCCACCTCTCCCCCAAGAGTTAAATAAATCGGGTAACCATGCTATATAGGGATGCACTGATAAAGGTTTTTTGGGCCGATATCAATGGTCAATTATTAACCAGCCATATTGGCCAATACTGATCAGATTGCCGATATGCAGCCCAGCAGCTTGGAGAGCAGCATCTAGCTGGTAAGTTTGTTCATTGATTCATAGTTTTAGGGGCTGGAAGGGACCTTGCAGATCATCAGGTCCAGCCCCCCGCCCCACCCCGGCAGGAACACAACTGGGGCTAAGTGAGGTGACTGTCCAGTCTCCTCTTGAAAACCTCCAGGGTAGGTGACTGCACCACCTCTGGAGGGAGTTAATTTTACAGTCTGGACACCCCGACTGGGAAGGAGTTTTTCATGGTATTAAGCCTGAAGCAGCCTTCCAGAAGTTTGTATCCATTGGTCCTGGTCTTCCCCAGGGGTACCCTAGCAAACAGTTGTTCACCGAGCTCCTGATGCACTCCTCTGACATTCATTACCCCTAGGTCCCTTTCGGCCATGGCACAAGTCAAACCATCACCACCGAGCCTGTATGCATGTTGAGAGTTGCATGCCCCCAGATGGAGCACCTTACACTTGGAAGTATTACACTTCATCCAGTTCCAGTCTGTCCAACACTCGAGCCTGTTCAGGTCTGCCTGTATCTGCAACCTATCTTCTGACATGGCCACACTGCCCCATAACTTGGGTGTCATCCGCAAACTTGCGCAGCAAGCTTTTCACTCCCCATCCAAATCATTGATAAAAATGTTGAAAAGCACCGTCCAAGCATGGACCCCTGAGGGGACACCACTGGCCACTTCGTGCCAGGATGACACATCTGTTCATGAGAACTCTCTGGGTCCTGCCCTGGAGCCAGTTTCCCCACCCGCTGAACCGTTGAGCAGCTGAGCCCACAATCTTCCAGTTTTCTCTCAAGGATATTATGGGCTACTAGATCAAAAGCCTTTTGGAAGTCTAGGTATACAACATCTACCACATCTCCCATGACCAGGTGGCAAGAAACCTGGTTGTAGAAGATGAGTTTAGTAAGACCAGACCTACCCGTGACAAAGCCATGCTGGCTGTCGTTCAGAATCTTACCTTCCGCGAGCGTATTGCACGTAGATTCTTTAATGAGCTTTTCCAGGATTTTCCCTGGGATAGAGGTTAGGCTGATTGGCCTATAATTGCCTGGATCCACCCTCTTCCCTTTCTTTAAGACGGGCACAACCTTGGCCCTCTTTCAATCCTGTCCCAAGGTGTTAAGCAGGCTGCCACTGCTGTATGCAACCTGGGAGGGCTTATGGGGGCACATGGCCCCAGGATCTGGGTGAGACAGGGCAGGCTTCTGCTGCAGGCTGGGGCCAGGGCTGCACCAGGCCCTTGCTGGGCTGGGGGACTATGGTGAATTTTGGGCTGGCTGCAACCTCCACCCCCTAGCCCCCCTTCCAGCACCACTGCCCCCCACCCCAGCAGAGCCCAGCTCAGCCCCAGCCTGCAACAGCAGCCCACCATTGCTCCACGCACAGATCCGATGGCATGTGTCCCCCACGCCCTTCTGGGGTGTTTGCAGTGGTGGGAGCCACCCCCCAATCCCAATAAACTACAGCTCTGTCCCATGCCCTGCCCCAGCCCCTCCCTAACCGCAGGGGCCTTGACCTGCCCCCCACCCCCCACCCTTTCCCCTCCCCCTGCCCTTCACCACAACCGACGCAACAGGAGACACTGCACTTGTTGTGGAGCTGCGTATCGAAATCAGAGCGTATCGCTGGTAGGCCTGTCTGATTAGGCAGATATTTGATCCGGCCGCTTCAGATGCAGGGATCCGATCCAGAGCTCCGGACCAGGTTCCCGATTTGATCCAGCCAAAGCGGCTCCAAAGCCATCTCCGAGTTTCAGCCATAGGGGATAATGAGGAAATCAATAAACTATAACTTTGTTGTTTTCTATGCGATTTGGATGAAGCTTGCAGGGGTGGTAGTCTCCGCAGAGATCATGAAACCTGCCACGTTTCAAGAAGATCGGTGCAGGGGTTTGGGGGGAACTGCACCCCAAATTCTTGAAAGCAAAACTCATGTCATGTGTATGTATTACATCACAGCAGGGGTGAAGACTGCAGGGGTGGGGGCCCCTGTTGAAGCCTAACAAAGCCAGTGCTTCGATCCGGACGTGCTGCTTCGGACACCAAAGCGTCCGAAGCTTCTCTGGATCCGAAGCCCCGCACAGCCCTAAGCAGCGGGGACCCCTACTTACAAATCAGCTATTGGTATCGGCCCAAAACATCTCCACCGAGCACCCCTATTCGAGGTGGAAGCGCTTGGAGACCACTGGGAGAGGAAGAAGAGCTGGAGCAATCCTTGGAGGAGAGAGAGGAAGAGGCTGCACTGCAAGGATCCCGAAGTGTTTCCTCTCCCCCCAAAACGTTTAGATCAAGATCGTGAAGCAGATCCTGGTTTTGAACTAGACGCGCGCGGGTCCGACAGCGGCCCCCGGTTTACTGAGGGCCAAGCCACGTGTAAAAGGAGCTCGTGCCGCCGCCTCCTCCCAGGGGGATGAAGA